CGGATACTACCTTGAAATTAAATGGGTTTCCTTCAGCGTTGAAGGAAGCTTGCCGTCATGCTCGAACGATTCAGTGGAAGTGTATCTTACAAGGTATGAAATTTTGTCGTCCATTAGAGCGCCTGTGATTTGCGGAAGGTTTGAGTTGATGGGAAATTTTACTGTGTCAGATTCTGTTTTGAAGTTTATGACAAATTTTAGCATTTTAACCACTCCTCGTTTAAAAAGCCCGGTGTTAAATTTGCTAGCATATTTTGGTTTTTTTCGACTAAACTACTCTTGAATCTTATATCTAAAAATCTACCGCGAACATTTGCTCAAACTTTCTCGGTTGAAGAAATATCGCTATTCAATTACAGTGCAAGTTGTACTTACCACTCTCTCGACATTATCTGCCCTCTTTATTGAAATTTCGATTTTCTTGCCAATATATCCACAAATAATACCAATTTTTTGAAATTAAGATGCTTTTTCATTTGCCACTGGACTAGAGTTTAATCAATGGCGACAGCACGTAACTCTTCAACGAAAAGTGGCGGGAAAATATCACGTGCTATCGCCTCTTTTTATACTGGTTGCCTTCTTTGACCTCATGGCGTGGCCCTCATGGTACGGTTTATGAAGAAGAAAAAGAATTGGTTTTAAAACGAAGTCCGCTTAAGGGTTTGCAGTGCAACAACAATCAACATTCTCATTTTGATTTGATGTCCTAGCATTTGCAGGATTGGTGCTGGTGGTCAATTCGCATATACCATCATGTCTTGTTTCGTACCGCATGTCCAGTCTTGTAAATGTTCGAAGGTAAAATTTGTCTTGCTGAAATTGCCCAGCTATTGAACTAAATTCACATTCGTTTATGCTATCTAATTTTTTGCTTTTGTTGCCTATAATTCGCGCATCGACCTAATCAATTACTTTTACAAATATCATGTAACATTTTGAATTCAAACAAATCAATTTTGTTGGACTTGCGTGCACCAGACAAATATCTTACGCGACGTATATATGGTTTAATAAACTGATCCCCGTTCATTATCCATTCATTGCTGATTACTATATAGCGATGTATCAGGCATCGACCTAATTTATCATTATTTTAATTTTACAAGTTTATTTGAATCTTTTTACTTCTAACCGATTAACTTATTTAACCGATTAACATCGTCATGCATGTTCCAAGCAAAAACCTTACTTCATTAAACTTTTTTGACAGAATTCAAGAAAGCTCATCGGAAACAGATGTCCAATATTTATCACATCAGTTGAAGTTCATAATTCCGTATTTCCTTGAAAGAACACAAAATAAAAATTGAAAACAAACGATTCTGTAGAAGTTGCACCACAAACATAGATTTTTGGAATAAGTTTTTGAAAGTGCTCAAAATGGAGATCTTGAAATTATTTGCCTTGAGAAAAGATAGTTTATCATTTAGGGTAGGTGTTTTTGGACATTGAAAATTGACGTAGCTGCTGCATTAGACAATGATTTGATGGCACTTTCGATTTCAGCTTAGCAAAGTAGGCATTTATTTTCGTTTCTATCACCCATTTGTGACAGCCTCATTAATGTATTCAAAAACAGCATTGTTGTGTCTCTCCATATTTTTATGAACACTTCGTCTTTGTGTTTTCTTAGAGACTGCAACCCAACATTGATTGTGGATTGAAAGACCTGTTTCACTGATTCCTTTGTTGTAGATAGATATATTCCATTGCAGTGTTTTAACCTTTCATGTAAAACAATAGCAATTCAGCAGAAATCCAAATGTGATAGAAAGTGCAATTACCAGAATGTTTCCATGCAATTATATGTTCTATGCAAAAAAGGTTCGCAAAAATTTGTAAGAAGAAACTTGATATTAATTTTGGCAATTTTATTTTGGTTTGCTGGATCCTTGAAACCTGGTTTGCTGGATCCTTTGAGCGAAGCTCTTTCTGTCTCCGTCTCAATAGACGAGGGTTGCCCGCTCCTTTGATCGGCAGCACGTCCGTCTCTATCCACAAAGTCCTTCTTGCCGTCTCTGTTCCATGAAACCTGGTTTGTTCGATCCTTCGAGCGAAGCTGTTTCTGTCTCCGTCTCAATAGACGAGGGTTGCCCTGTTTCTCTAATACTTACAGTTTGATAAGACGGCAAGCTTTGATAATTGCCTGGACGTTTGCAGGTATACGACCTCTTCTTGAAACAGCTCTTCAGGCAGTCCGTACAAAACGAATCTCTTATCTTTCTTTCGCCTCTTTGCGGAAATGCCTTGAAAAAGACATTGCTACAGCCTACTTTTCCGTGCAGATTGATAAGATACGCACTTTTACTTCCCCATGTACCGTGTTCGGCGTTGCCACAAGTTTTTCTGATTTTTCCCATTTTATTTTAACCATGGAAACATTTGTTTACAAAAATTTTTTGAATTATGGTGTCATTTAAATTTCCCGCCATCCCATAGAGAACGTGATATTTTCCCGCCACTTTCCGTTGAAGAGTTACGTGCTGTCGACATTGATTAAATTCTAGTCCAGTGGCAAATGCAAAAGCATCTTATTTCCAAAAAATTGGTATAGTTTGATATTCCAAATGATGATGATGATGGTGATGATGATGATGATGATGGTGATTGTGATGATGATGATGATGATGATATTGATGATGATGATGATGATGATGATGATGATGATGATGATGATGTGAATGATTGTGATGATAATGATGATGATAATGATGATGATGATGGGATGATGTGATAATGATGATGATGATGATGATGATGATGATGATGATGATGATGTGATGATGATTATAATGATGATGTGATGATGATGATGGTGATGATGATGATGATGATGGTGATTGTGATGATGATGATGATGATGATATTGATGATGATGATGATGATGATGTTGATGATGATGGTGATTGTGATGATGATGATGATGATGATGTTGGTGATTGTGATGATGATTATGCTTATGATGATGATGATAATATGATGATGATGATGATTGATGATGACTGATTATGATGACAACGAAGATTCCAAATGTATTGAAAGTCTGAACTTTTCTAGATGCGCTACAAGTTTGTTTCCCAGACAACTAAAAGTGTTTTATGTTTCGTGAGAATGCGATTCACAGACTTGGAATAACTAAAAAACGGCGGCACAAGCTATGACGCAGCAACTTTACACAACTCATATATTGGGGCTCTGTGATATGAACCTAACTGGGATTTTGTTTATTTGATTTGACGAAGGACATTTTCGCTTGATAACATAACACGAACAATTATTCTTATTTGGTTGCTTTATCAAAATGCATTTCTCAGATTTACAGTTTCTTGATAAACGGCGGGCAATGCTATGACGCATTAAGTTTACCAAATCCAGATTTTTGGATTCCACTATCAACCTTTGCAGAAGGAGAAATCGATGCGTGCCTAACGATCCCTAACGACCCGCGCTGACAAAACGATTCCAGCATAATGATCTCACGGCAGTGCAATTTATGATTACGAAGGTGAATCTTTCGTACGTAATTGTGAGCAGCCAAACTTTTAATTTCGTAAACTTCCTAGTTGCGAGTGCAAAGATTTCTTCAACTCGGCAATTCAACTATTTGATTAAGAAAGGTAGTCACAGATCCCAAGATTATTAATTGGTCATTCTCGTAACTGTTGGTCTGACTTCAGACTTTTGACAAATTTCCATTGTTTCTATGTTTTTCCTATACCAAACTACCTTATCCAACGGGGTCTGAAGAATTTCGAATGAATTTTGGATCAACCCCAGAGAAAATTGAAAAATCCCTGCAGGCATTTTGCGACAATTTCGCAAAGCCTGGAAATCTTCGAATAATTTTCACCGACTTTGCAAAACTTGCGAAAAACTAAACAGATTTCAAACGCTTACAATATATTTTCCACGACTCATTCATGAAAGCTAATTCTTGCAGAAACTCGTGAAATCGCATATTCCCGCACTTTTTTTTGTATCCTACATAGCAAATTGCAAATTATACGTCTAATTACGTTGTCGCTTGACAAGATGAAAGCACCATTCTCGATTGCGAGAAGTTTCTGATCTATTCTGGCTACAGTTCAACATGCAAGTGTCGATTAGCGAACCTCAATTGCCTACTTAATCGGGAAACTCACGATTCTCGATTGTTCGTTTGGGAAAATTGGGAAAATCTTTTGATTTCGGCATTCTATGGGTGCATTGTTTCGATTGTCTCAGGCCTTTGTATTCGGCTTCTATGTTTCCATTGTTGAACTCATCAAAATGCCGATCCATTGTTACACAATTGGCAACAATTCTACATATATATATATATACATATATACTCAATCTGCAGACAGTACTGTTTCGCCCTTTGTGGGCTCGTCAGTGCAGCACAGAGCTTGTCTGAGACACAACCCGAGCCATGCTGTCAGAGCAACAAGGCAGTTTAACGGATTGATTGTGGGACCCTGCCAGAGTGCTCAAACAGCGCATGCGCAGTGAGCTTCGCATAATGCTAGAAGCAGGTCCCCACAGAGTCCCAGACATAGAGTGCTCGACCAAACTAGTGTAAGGGAGCGTAATACTCAATCTGCAGACAGTACTGTTTCGCCCTTTGTGGGCTCGTCAGTGCAGCACAGAGCTTGTCTGAGACACAACCCGAGCCATGCTGTCAGAGCAACAAGGCAGTTTAACGGATTGATACATATATATATATATATATGACTCTTCTGGAAAATGCAGAAACTCTTCTGGAGACTCTTCTGGAGAATGCGGGAAATAGGAAAACCAACGAAGGGAGGGCTGAGAGGATTCCACTCGTGACTACATACCATCCGGAACTTAATGGTTTGGGGAACATTGCCAGGAAACACCATACCTTGCTCACTGGTTAAAAAATAGCACGGCTTTTGCAATGTACGAAGAATGTGGAGGAATGGTACTTCGATATTATGAATTGGCGATGTGGACAAAACTGATGATGATGATTATGATGATGATTGATGATGATGATGATGATGATTGATGATGATGATTGATGATTGATGATGATGGTGATTGTGATGATGATGATGATGATAATGATAATGATGATGTTGATG